TCCGTCCCGAATGTGGGGATTCTCAATGGGGGCGGGGAGGGGGGGGCTTACCTATGGGAATCCTGTTCCAGAGGTTCCCAAAGGTGTGGACGGAGTTGGCGAAGACTATCCACCCTCTTCCTACGGTGGAGTCCTATACATTTAAATTATGACGGGGGATTGGCAGTCATCGTTGGGAGCTGAAACCACACAAGGAAGCTAGGGAACGTCTAGGAAATGAGAAGGCGGGAGAGGGAGCGGGAGGGAGCCCATAAAACCTGTTAGGCCCTCCCATGAGCCTTTCTCCCATTTGGAGAAAGTAGACCTGCAGTGAAACTCTTTTTCTTTTTTTTTAATCCTCACCTGAGGATATTTTCCCATTGATTTTTAGAGAGAATGCAAGAAAGAGAGAGAAATATTGATGTGAGAGAAACACATTGATTGGTTGCCTCCTGCACACGCCCCATCCAGGGCCCTGACCAGGGAGGAGCCTGCAATTGAGGCATGTGCCCTTGACCGGAATCAAACCCAGGACCCTTCGGTCCACAGGCTGACACTCTATCCACTGAGCCAAACCCCCTAGGGCCCTGCAATGAAACTCTTGGATTGACCCGCTCCGTTCTTTTCTTAGCAATCCCCCTTTCCAGCTCCTTCTAGATCATAGACACTGGAGTGGGGGTGCGGGGAGGGAGTTGTTGATTGTCTTCCCCAGTGGAGGGCCTCTCTCTGCTCAGTCCTGGCACTGGTGGCTAAGCACCCTGTGTCTGTGAACCCTGACCAGAACAAAGCCATTGCCTCCAGGTCCCACCATCAGCTCGCCGAGAATCCATTGCGTTCCCCATCGTCTTCAGCCTCTCTACTCATTACACAGGCTACAGTGAGGCTGCCTCTGAAGCAGAATCAAGATCCAAAATTCTATTTTATTTTAAATACTTTTATTGATTTCAGAGAGGAAGAGAGAGAGAGAAACATCAATGATGAGAGGGAATCATTGATCAGCTGCCTCCTGCACGCCCCACCCTGGGGATTGAGCCTGCAACCTGGGCATGTGCCCTGAGCAGGAGTCAAACCCTGAACTCCCGGTTCATAGGTCAACACATAACCACTGAGCCATGCTGGCTGGTCTAGAATTTTATTTTATAAAGTTTGCTAGAGGCCCGGTGCACGGATTCGTGGCCTGCAGGGATCGGGCCGGAGCTGGCTCTCCGACATCCCCCAAGGAGTCCCGGATTGCAAGAGGGTGCAGGGCCAGGCCGAGGGACCCCACTGGTGCACAGTCAGGGCTGGGGAGGGACCGTGGGAGGGCTCCAGGGCGTGTCCGGCCCATCTCGCCCAGTCCTGATTGGCCAGACCCCAGCAGCAAGCTAACCTACCAGTTGGAGCATATCTGCCCCCTGGTGATCAGTGTGCATCAGTCGGACACTTAGCACATTAGGCTTTTACAATACAGGATTCCTTTTAGCTTGGGATTCCTCAGTCTTGCATTAGCGAACCTCTAGATCTGAAGCTGACTTGAACTCACATAAATTATTGGTCAAACAAACCGATGTTGTTCATTTAACCAACAACTGCCCTGTGCCAGGGAGGGTAACAGCTTCTAACAGAGGCCTCCTCCAGGGCCTGCTTACGTTTAGGACAGAAGGATCCCCTCTGGCTTCCTTCTGGTTCGGACAGACCCTGGGAGCAGCTCAGGGCTGGTGTTCACTCATTCACCCAACGGCCATGCCTGAGCGTCTACCAGGTGCCAGGCCCTGGCCCCCACCTCTGCCTGAGCCCACAGGCCAGGTCAGGGAGGGCGGGGAGGAGTTCTGCGGCGGCCGGGAGGCACCGTGGGGCAGGGGTGGAGAGTGTCTCCTGCTCCCACACCACCCAGAAGGCCGCATGCCCTGCAGTGCACGCCACACACGAGCAGGCAAGGAGCAGCGCGTCCCTAAAGCTGCAGCAGCTGCTGCGTTCCAGCGTGAAAGCTGAAGTCTGCTTTAGTGGGGCCCCGGGGCGAGCCTGGTGAGCTTTGCCGCCAGCAGGCACGTGCCCACTGTTGGGGGGTGGGGGGGGAGATATTCAGGGAAGGTAATCCCAACGCCAGTGTTTCTGAGATGCCAGAGACTGGTGCCTGTGTGTGCTTATTTCCCGTGTTTATTCCTTCTCCCTTTGGGGGATGGGTGAGCAGGGCAGCGGTGGTGTCGGCATGTCACGGGGAAGGCCAGGGAATGGAAGTTGCCGGGTTCCTGGACTGTGGGAAGTGGGGGAAGCAGGACGGGGCAGAGGGAGGAGTGGGGCCAGGATGCGGTCCCAGCAGAGGCCTGGCCAGCCCCCGGGGGCTCTGGAGCTGGGTGCCCTGCAGGGGTGTCCTGCATCGAGGTGAGAGGGCCGTCCCCCACAGCTCTCCCTGTGTCGTCGGTGGCTGCAGGCCGCCACGGACAACGGGGGACCCTCCCAGAGAGGGGTGCAGTGGGGAGCTGGGCGTCACCCACATCCTCCATCCTGAGGACGTGCGGGGGGCACGCCACACGTGTGGGCAGACGCTAAGTGTCTGTGTTAGTGTCTGGGGCCCAAAGGCAAAATTCAGCCTCTGGCGAGACACCCACGGGGGATGGAACCTGCACTAGCCGTCCCCCGCCCACATGCAGGTGGGAACCAGTTCCACGTGAGAGGCGAGAGGTGCTGGGTGCTGCCCTCCAGGGCGGGCGTGGCGTGGGGTTTTCTCTGCAGCCAGGTGACCAGGCTGCGCAAACATGTCGCTCAGAAGGGACACGCCGCCTCCTTGCCGAGGCCCCTTCCGCCTGCGAGCAGGCGGCCTCGGGAGCCTCGTCACTTCAGGTTGGACGTGGAGTCATTTCAGTATTTGCTTCTCTTTGGCCAAGGGGGGACCTAGCTACCTGGCGGGCGCGGGAGAGACGTGGAGTCTGCCCTGCCACCCTCTCTGTATTGGGGCATCTGCCCAGCCAAGGCAGCTGTCAAGGCCTTGGACCCTGGGTTGTCTCTTTAAGGTGCACTTCCATCCCTTTCCAATAGGGAGCGCCCTCCTCGAGACTGAAGCTCCTCAGGAGGCCAGGTCTGAGCCCATCTGAGGCCCAGCAGGACATGGGCTTGCCGGCCCGCCCTCCCGGGCCTCTGGCCACCTCTACCCGGGAGCTGCCTCCCCGCTGTGGCATCAGGGGCACCC